AGAGGCCCAGACCACCTGAGCTTTCCAAAAGAAACCTTTCCCAACATGCTGAGCAGCCTGCAGGTTGGGCAATGTTCTCCAAGTTTCCAGGTTTTGTGAGCTGTGAACCCTGCTGAGGTGAGCTTTAGCGATGTAATTGTCTTTGAGTCATTTCTATTCCTGTAAATAACCTAGTACCCAATTCCTGTAATTAACCCCAATAAACCCTAACTGCTTCACCAGGATGGACTTTGGTGGGCTTTTACTTTGGTTCATTGTCTGGGATTAGTAGATATTTGTTTATGTCTCCTCAGGAACAGTGTCAGACAACAATTAAAAAAGAAGAAAGATTTCAATTAAATAGTCCAAGATTATCCATCAAGGAACTAGAAAAGGGATAAGCCTAACTCAGATTTGCCAAAGGAAAGAAAGGATAAAAAACAAGAGCAGAATATAAATCAAAAATTAACAAAAAAGAACAGAGTCAATAAAACTGAGATGTTATTTTAAAAAGTAAAGAAAATTTATAGCTCTCAGCTAGCCAAAGAAAACTGGAAATGAAAAAAAGAAAAACAAAAACAAAAGTTTATGAAACTTCAGAAATAAAAACTGTCACAGAGGATTACCATGAACAGTTATACACTGCCAAATAGAATAATTCATATGAAACTTGAATATATTTCTTTAAAAAACACAAATCATCACATAGATTGAGTCTGGAAGAAAAGGAACACCCGGGCAGAAAATAATACTTAGAGAGATGGATGATTAGATCAAGGCTTCCTATGTTAGCTGCTTTTCACATTTCTGTGACAACATGCTTCACAGAAGCAGCTTAAAGAGCAAGGGCTCATTGTAGCTCACACTTGAGGGATGCAGTCAGTCCAGCACAGTGGAGGAGGCATGCCTATGAGACAGCTGGTCATGCTTCGTCTTGGGGAAGAAGAAAGACGAGTACACATGCTCAATTTGTTCTATCTTCTTTTATCCCTTTCAGTCAGTGTGTGTGTGTGTGTGTGTGTGTGTGTAAGGTGGGTACTCCTATATCCAAGGTGACTCTTTCCTCTCTGAAAATGCTCTCACAAACATACTGAGAAGTGTGTCTCCTACATGACTGTACAGAATAAGGTTGACCATGAAGATTAACTATTGCAAGTGTATGCCCTGTCAATCTGATCCCTAAATCACATTTAATTCCAAGCATCCCACCACTGGTCCACCTAGGTTCATGGTCATCTCAAATTGCAAAAATAAGCATTCATTCCAACTTCAACTTCAACCCGGCACCACCTTAATAGTTCCAAGCTAGAAAAAAAAAATCACGGGAAGACTACACATTATTGATGGACATTGAAGTGAAACCTCTAGTAGTACATCAAGACATGCTATGTATCAGTCAATTGTGTGTGTGTAAATCAGTCAGTGTATTACCTTTAGAGAGCCAGAGATTAAAACTGATCATCTCAATTGACACACACAAAGCATCTGACCAAGTCTGATGTATTTTCCTAAATACAAACTCTGAATGGTTTAAGCATGGAGGGAAAGTTGCATCCCAATGTAAGGACTCCTACAAAAGGCCAAGAGATGAAGCCTTTCCTTTTGAGGTCTGAGGAAAGGCAAATGTACTCACGAAATGTACTTACCAGTCCTATTCACTGTAGTATGAGAAGCACTAACAACATCCATCAGGTGAGAGAAAGAAAAGACATGCGAATTGGAAAGGGGGAAGTAAAATTGCCTCTTCACCTAAAAGCCAGATACTGCAGGAGTAAATCTGCTGGTGTGAATAAATTGCATAAAGTTTGTTGGTACAGGGTCAACCTTCAGTAGAATTTTTATCTTACACAAAGATAGCTAAAATATTGAGAAGGTGAGTTTGCATGTGATAGCACTGGAAAACCACACAATTAACCAAGGAAATACCAATATACTCAGAGTCACAAAACACTGTGAAAGACACAGAAGGAAAGAAATGGATGCAAAGATGCTCTATGTCCATGGAATGGAAGAAAATTATCTAAATATCCACAAGAAACAAGGTGTGATAGCACAGACAATTCCAGCACTTGAGAAGCTGAGGCAGGAGGATTGCTGTACATTCAAGGCCAGCCAATGCTAGATACTGGGAGCCTGCCTCCAAAAGTGCAAAGCCAAAAGCAAAATACAATACTTAGCAGTATGCTTGTGCAGCAGTCTTCTCCAAACCTCAGTGCTTCCTCTTTGCAGAGTGTGCTGGCTGGTTTTATGTTAGCTTGACACAAGCTAGACTCACTGTGAAGGAGGGCGTCTCCATTAAAAAAATACCTCCAGGACTCCCAGTGGAGGAATAAAGACACCAACTCACAAAACCTTTAACCCGAAATTTGTCCTGCCTACAAGAAGTGCAGAGATAAAGATGAAACAGAGAGTAAGAGAATGTCCAACCAGTGACTGGTCCAACTTGAGACCCATCCCATGGATAAAAATCAATCCTGGATACTACTAATGATACTCCGTTATGCTTACAGACAGGAGCATAGCATGACTGTCCTCTAAGAGGCTCTATCCAGCAACTGACTGAAACAGATACAGATACCCACAGCCAAACATTGAACAGAGATCAAGGACTCTTATAGAAAAGCTGGGAAAAGGATTGAAGGCCCTGAAGGTGATAGGAACCCCATAGAAAGACTAATAGATTCAACTAACCTGGACCTCTGGGAGCTCTCAGAGACTCAGCCACCAACCAAAGAGCATACACAGGCTGGACCGAGGCCCCAGCACATATATAGCAGACATGCAGTTCAGTCTCCATGTGGCTTCCCCAACAAATGGAACAGGGACTGTCTCTAAAGCTGTAACCTGACTATGGAATCTGTTCCTCACCAAGGCTGCCTTGTCTGGCCTCAGTGCGGGAGGATGTGCCTAATCCTTCAGAGACTTGATGCTCCAGGTTGGGGGGATACCAGGGAGACACTCCCTCAGAGGAGAAGGAGAGGGAGCATAGGAGGAAAGATTTTGGGAGAAGAGTCATCTGGGCAACATTTGGGATGCAAACAAACAAAGACAAAACTATATTTCCTGGATAAATACATAAGAGAAGTCTTCCGAACATTGACCTTGGCAGTGACTTTGGCTATCATATCAAAAGCCGAGGACCCAAGCAAGACTAAATTAGTAGTAATGCATCAAAGTAAAACACTTATGTACTACAAATGTAACAACAAAGTAAAGTTGTATTGGAAGCAAGCAATAATCACAGAAAAAATAACCACAGAGATTGTTTATGATAGGTCACTTAAAGTTAATAAAGAACTCATTAGATTCAACCATGGGAAAAAACTCAATAATCTGATGTAAAAATGAGTGAATTGAATTAGCATTTCTCCACAGAACATATAAAAATGGCCAATTAGCACATTAAAAGTATACATTATTAATTATCAGACAAATACAAATTAATTAGGAGATACCACTACATACCCTTTAAGATGACTATTTTAAGAGAAAACCCAAAGATAAGACATATTGGACATTTGAACAGCCACAGGACCTGGCAGCCCCTCCTTTGGGAGCGTAACCAAAAGAACTAAAAACTCCATCTTGTAAGTATGGTTAAACACTGCTCTGTACCCTACAGTGCCATTCGTGACATCTAAGATAGGAAAGCAACTTAGGCATCCATCAACACATGTGTGGATAAAAATAAGCATTGGTGGATCTAAACAATGGAATAATATTCAAACCTGGTCTAAGAGATCATGCCTTTTGCTATTGTATGGACAAACCTAGAGGATAGCATGGCAAGTAAAAGAAGTCAGACTTAGAAAATGTATTACTTCACTTTCATGTGGACTCTAAAACACACAGAAATGGAGAACAAGGGTGGCTACCAGGGGTTGAGTCAAGGCAGAAGGAGAAAACAGGTCAAAGTCTACAAAGCGAGGGCTGGAGAGGTAGCTCAGTGGTTAAGAGCACATACTACTCAGTCTTCCAGAGGACCTGAGTTCTGGTTCTAGCATCTCCACTGAGTCTCGTACCATATCCTGTAATTCCAATTCCAGGGACAATAGGTCCTTTTGCAAACAAGTCTGAAGACCTAATGTTCGTGAGGACTGGGGGCAGGAAAACTCAATTATATACAGGATTCCTGCAGAGTGAGTACATTCTGGCTGCTCTTGACACAAAAATTACTTGCATCACTGCAATAATCTTTTGAAATATCTATGTGTCCTATGATATGTCATAGTTCTTAAATATGCAAAACATTTTTGAGAGCTCTTTTCCTATTAGGCACAAACAAATGCTTATTGAGGTCATCACAGTTGGTGATTATTATAGTGTGATGGCAAATACTAATTGCCAACTTGACATATCTGGAAAGAGGGGACTTCAATTGAGGAACTATATCCATCAGATTGGCCTGTAAACAAGTCTGTGGGGGCATTTTCTTGATGAATGATTGATGTAGGAAGGCCCAGCCCACAGTGGTTGGTGGCTCTCCTGGGCGGTGGTTCTGGGTTCTATAAAAAAGCATGCTGGTAAGCACTTGGTAAGCACTGATTACCCCATCATCTCTGCTTCATTTTCTACCTCCAGGCTCTTCCCTTGAGTTCCTGCCCTGGTTTCCCTTCAGGATAGAATACAACCACAAGCTGGAATCAACCCTTACGTGCTCAAGTTGCTTTGGGTCATGGTGTTTATGGCAATAAGAGAGCAAATTAGGACATACCATTTCAAGTCCTGAGTATTAGTTATTGAAGTAAGTGTACAAATTATTAGCATTTGCTAGGTCAGATCCAGAGTTGTGTGGCTTCTACTGAAGCATGAATAAAGACTTACAGAAGGCATGAAAGCAGCTATCATGTTATCAGAGTCCAGTCTATACTGACTTGTTGAAGAATGAATGAAATGATAAAGAAATAAATGATGTGATTATTCAAAATTCAAGATGTCATTATAGTTCAGTAACTGGCCATTAATATAGGAAAGACAAGCATTAGAGGAACACAGGCAGGTGCCTGGTGCCATTGCCTCACCTGCAGAAGTCCACACCAACGTTCTTGAGCTTCACGATGGTTGCATAGGTGTGTCCTTCTTTAAGCACTCCAAACTTCACTGATGGTGGGAGAAGGTGGAACCCAAACGGGGATGCCTTTGGGTTGTAAATAGCTGCGGATGCAATGGAGGATGTATTCACTTTCCCCCCGACTGGATCTTCCACCTTTGTAGAGCAGAGACATTGACAAAAGAGAGAAGGAGAGTTTTTGATTAAAGAAAATACCACTAACACTAGAAAAGAATGACCGCTTGGCTGAGGGAAGACTTATGTACGGTCTCATGCAATCCTTACAATATTCTTATATAAATATTTTAGGTTTTGCTTTAAAGAGAAGAAAGTGCAAGTTCAGAGTTGAAAGAAATCATTTGCTTGAATGCTTAAATAGAAAAGTCTCAACCCCAGGTTTGCCTGATCCTTAGGTCCAAGCTCTTTCCTCTGGGGCAGTGGCTAGCCAGGGTTGATTAGATTTCTGCAGAATCTTCCAGAATATTCAAGGTTACTGCTCCTGTTCCTTGAGTTTCAGACTCTCTGTGTCTAGATTGGGGAGAGCTTTGCATTTAAAACATTCTCTGGTGTTGCCAACACTGCTGATCAGGAAGACACACAGCAAACCTCTGCTCTCTGCCTATCACTGACATCACCCAATAATTAAGCTGCAGACTCTCCTGTCACAGATCAGACCTAGAGATTCAGAGTCCGTATCTCTAACAAACTTGTATGTAATACATATGCACATTCAAGTTTTCAAGCACGATTATCAGTTACATATGCTCGGCAACATGACGACTCGACTGTAACATGGTAACACCATGGTGATGCCCAGTGTGTGCCATGGAAGTAAAGAAAGGGTAATCTTTTTTTTTTTTGTTTTCACTTGTGAGCATAAGCAAGTATTCCTATCAGAGCTGATGGGAAAACTTTTTATCTAAAAGGCTGTGAGCACAGATAGAATAGAGAAACCCACCATGGCTAAAGGAGAACAAGCTGGGCAGGGAAGTATAAAAGAGGAACATTTTAATTAATAGATTGCTATGGTCCATTTTCAATATGAAGTGCTCTTAGTGCTTGTCAGAGTCATAGAGAAAGAGAGGTGCTGGGCCTTTTTCCCTCCTTGGGTGTTGGCTGGTGTGCTGAATGGTCTCAGAACTTTGAGAGCCGAAAGTTACAGGTCTGTAATATGACTGAGCCCATGATCAGAAAAGGGGGAAGTCTCAAGTCTCAAATTATTTATCAGATAAAGCATTGTACCCTAAGCTAACAAGATGAGGAATTTGGGAAGGGGACATATCCTGACCTATAGGGAAAGAGAACAGGAATTTCTTGTGATAGGGCGGGTGGGGCAGGATGATCGTGACACAGGATGACAACCTTAAAAACTACTATCTTACCAAATTATCATACCAGACAGTTTTGTCTTTCTTTTATTCTATGCAGGCATCCCATTATATAGAATTATATATTGAAAACAGCCTCATTTCCAATAAACTCTTGAATCTATTATTCTATTTCCAATAATGTGAGCCCATACTTTGCACCGGTTCAAGCTCTTTGGACATTATCCTAAGCTTCACTAAGTGAATGGTCTTGGGTTTTAGGTTCAGGGGTACTGTTCTTCTTTGAGGTAGGAAATTATCAGAAGAGTTATTAATGCCATAGACAGACTGGCTGACAGCACCAAGGGGAGAACTTGGAGAAGAGTTCAGGCCCACGCTGATAGAGAGCCTCAGCTTTAAAACAGGATTCCCATGAGAGTACAGTTGACCTTCTCCAACCTTATTGGTCAGCCACAACCCAGAAGGAAGTTTGTAAAGACAGCCTGTCTCCCAATACGATCTGTCTTCCCTGAAGCAGACAATTCCTCAGACCACAAATCCACACATAGCCCCCAGAGCCACATCAGCTCCCCTAATCCCACATCCCCTTTACCCCTATAACAGGTCCCCCTGTACCCCTGTAACAGGTCCCCCTGTACCCCTGTAACAGGTCCCCCTGTACCCCTGTAACAGGTCCCCCTGTACCCCTGTAACAGGTCCCCCTGTACCCCTGTAACAGGTCCCCCTGTACCCCTATAACAGGTCCCAGCTAGCTTTTTTTCTTTGCAAACTCCCTTCATTCCCTGAGGAGGGAGGCTTCTCCTAATGGTGTGTGCTAATGAACACAGTCCTGTCTGTTGAAGTCAGACTCTGGTTTCTATCTGTCTTTTGTCTCATTATGCTACTTCGGATATCTAACATGTGTGACAGAGTAGCGGGTCCCTTCTTACAGGTTTCAGAGGAGGTGGTTGGGTGGGAAGATCGTGAAGTTTCCTGTTCCTTTGGCCCAAGATTGGCAGTTTGTAGGAGTGCCTAGACAGTGTTGAAAGTAGAGCAGGTGACAAGAGACACCTAGTGGTTGTCCTTAAGTGAGGGTGCACAGGCAGAGAGGACAAGGTTCCAGAACAAGTGTTTGTAAGTTTGCAAACATTAAAGACTGTAGTTTGAGGAATTATCACCATTTAACCAGAATAGAGGGACTTGACAAAAAGGCATAGCCATGGCTCACAAACAGAAGGGAGGCCAATAATGCCTGTAAACAACAGACAGCACCTGAATTATTCTTCCCAAAGTGACCACTCCCAGGGTCCTGCCAGCCAGCTGGTGACACTCAGAAGCTGGCGCGAGCCAGTGGCAGCAAAGCACTGAGTGTTTTGTGCTCCTGTGGAGGAATGGTGGGGACACAGAGCTGGCAGGAACCTCAACACATTTCAATTGCACAGAAGGCCCTGGGAGACTTGCCCAGCACCTCTGTTACCTTGGTGTGAGGCTGAGACTTGGGCTTGGAGCTCATCATGTAATGAGGTAACCTCACTTTCTCCTTTCTCGCTTGTCCAGTAACATCCTGCAGCAGTGACTGGGTTGGAATTTTGATTGGCACGAAGATATCTGGTTCTGTGAGAGAACAAGTTTAAGTTAGAGCACATCTGAGGTGTTGTTAGAACATAGAAGAGTATGGACCAGCCTGGAAACTTCACCAGGCATCCCTTTCTTTGTAATTAATGTTTACTTTACTATTATATAATATATTAACTTTATTATTTATGTGCATATGGGTGTGTTTATGTGTGGACAATTGTTAGTGTGTGGTTATGTGTGCGCATGCGTATGCATGTGTGTGTCTAGGGGCAGGTGTCCCAGAGCCCACAAGGCAGCACTGGATCTTTTGGAGACGGAGCTATCTTTCCAGTCCTGTCTTTAAGCCTTAAAGGGTGCATTTACAGAAATAAAACCTTTCTTTCTTCCTCATTTTCCATTCATTCATTCTTCTAGGTAGTTCTATGCCTCTCTCTGTTCCTTTCAGCTCCTCTGAGATGGCAAGCAGGAGATGACAGCACCATTAAACAAATGAATTCTACATTTTCAAGTAACTTCGTAACTTCCCTCTGACCAGCTCATCTTACACTTTGGTATTCAGGATTTCCGTTAAGTTAGCAAGGGTCGCTAGTGAAACACTGACTTTGAAAGATTTCCTGCCACTAAGGGGCCCCACCTTAAGACAAGTCAAGTCTATCCCAATTCCTACAGCTCTAAAACATGGCATAGTAATTATAAATAGATGAAACCAGAGGTTTGAATCCTTTGCTTGGTAACATTTTTTCCCCTCTCAGTCATTTGAAGGTGGGTGCAGAAGTGAATAACCCACAAAGCCATAGCTGTTTATATTTGTTCCAAGTATTCAGGAGGGCTGAACTAAAAATTCTTTTGAAATAATTCTATTTAAACATCTTTTGTTGGGGAGGGGTTGCTGGAGAGATGGCTTTGCGGTTAAGAGCACTTGCAGCTTTTCCAGAGGATCTGATTAGATGATCCCAGTGTCTATGTGGGATAGCGCACAAACACCTGTAACTCCAGCTCCAAGGCTCTGACACCCCTCCCCATTTTCTGCAGATACCTGCACACAAGTAAATATCAAACAACCACACACAAGCACATGTATACAAATTGGAGGGCAGGATTCAAATAACAAAGCAGGGATCACTGAGCAGGCATGATCTACAGGCAAGTACCACACAGAGAACTAATTCTACAGAGACTTTTTGCCCTTGTTAAACCATCTAAGAGAGCCCTGAGAGCACTGAGCTGCCATGGGGGAGCTGAGGAGGGGTTGAGAGGATTGGGGGTGAGGGTGGGGGTGGGCATGGGGGGCTGAAGGAGATCCTTTAGCCTATGTGCTCAGTGTGCCAGTTATTCCCCCTTGAAGCTGCACTTCTACCCTACAAGCATCTGGGACCATGGCATTCTGGTTTGTGTCACTGGGACTGCACATGTCCAAAGCAGAGCCACAAGGCCTATTCCTGGATAATTCTATGAAAGTTGATGGGGACACTGCCACTTTGCCTATCGACTTTTGGCCTGGAAGAGGTGTAAACTTGGGCCTCTAGGCTCAGGATCCCTGCTGCATGGGAATGAGCTGCCCTTTGTGAGTGAGAATCAGACCAAAGGAAGACAAGGGTGGGACTAAAGGAGGACAGGGAGAATTCGAAGGCTAACAAGCTAGCAGACATGCATTCGTCGGCTGCCTCGCCTTAGAGCCAGAGCTGGCTATCTGTGGGGCTGCCCTTGATGCCTCTTTTCTGGTTTGCTTTTGAACAGGAGTAAATCCATTACCTCTCCTCTTTTTAGTTGATTTTGAGTTTTCTCATTAAAATGAAGTTTCAGTGAATACAACCACAGTATTCTCTCTCTCTCTTTCTCTCTCTCCCTCCCTTCTTCCCTCCCCCGTCTCTGTCTCTCTGTGTGTCTCTGTCTCTGTCTCTCTTTCTCTCTCTCTCTCCCCCCCCCCACCCACCACTTTACAGATGAGGAACATTGATGCCTAAGATAAATTGCCTAAGAAGCTGTCATGAGTGTCAGGGGTGGAATGTGAACCCCAGTGGGTCAGATTCCACAGGACACCAAACCTATCTGGGCACCATCATCTCAGGGTAGCTTCTGGAAAAATGGATTCCTGGACCTAGGTCAGGCAGGTCCTGTTGTCAATCAGGAGTAAGCAGAATCTCTGGAGGTGGAGCTGAGCGGTTAGTGTTCTGCTGTCTGTGGGCCAGCATTCTTCATGGAGGCAGTCTTTCTAATAGCTTTATTCAATGGATGCTAATTAACATCTCATAATATTATTACTCCTAATGAGGAGGAGTTTGCCATGTGCTGTCTACTGCACCAAGAAGTTCACGTATATTAAGCAATTCAGCTTTCACAACTCTCCTATGCATGTAGCCATGTGCATAGCATGATTTCTGCCTGGCAGCAAAGGACACAGAAGCACTAGAAATTTTTTGCCCCACAGCATGTTATATAAGCTAACTTTTGGATCAACCTTGATTCTTCTTTTTTTCTCAAATACCCATTTAGTTGACCAGCCCTAATGGACTCACTTTAGTGATAATTTCCAAGTAATTTTTTTTTTTTACCATTTTTCTCTGTATGTGTGTATGTTGTATGTATATGTCCGCATTCATCTCTGTGTGTGTGTGTGTGCATATAAAGTGTGTGTGTGCATGTGCACAGGTATGCAGAGGCTAGACGTTGCTGTTCGGTATCTTCCCCAACTGCCTTCCACTTTAACTCTTGAGACAGGGTCTTTCGCTGAACTGGAGGGTCACCAAATTTGGCTGGACTTGCTGGCCAGCAAGCTCCAGGATCCTTCTGCCTCTGCCTCCACAGCTCTGGAATCACAGGGGTACACTGTCACATGCAGCTCTTCACATATGTGTTTCTGGATGACTGATCTCAGGGATCATGCTTCACAGCAAGCATGTCACCCACTGAGCCATCTCCTCTGCCCGCCCACTTCTCCTCATCTCCACTTCAGCTGTGTTAATCCAACCCTTTGATGATTCTTTCCTGCACAATTCCTGTCATTTGCCACTGTCCCTGCCTTTTCCTATTCCTTCTTTCCCTTCTTACAGGCTCACGCCATCACAACTAGCACAAGTGTCTTTTATGTCTTTGTGAGTTTTTTTTTCTTTGGATACACAAGTCTTCCCATGTTGTCCAGGCTGTTCTAAACTTACAATCCTCCTGCCTCAGCTTCTCAAGTAGGTGTAACCTCTCCTTTTTAAAATTTTTTGAGTGTGAGCGTTTTGCCTGCATGTATGTCTGTGTACTCCATGAATACCTGATCCCCAAGGTAGCCAGGAGAAGGTGTTGGATACCTTGAAACTGGAATACAATCCAAGTATTCTAGGGAAGCAGCCAGTGCCACGTCCCCTCCCCCATGTCTGAGTAACCTCTTAATATATAAATTATACACACATATATAATTATATGTATTATAAATATATATAATATAAATATATAAACTGTATGATGCCAGGGAGAAGGGTCAGTCAGTGAAGCATTTCCTGCACATGAGGACCTGAGCTTGGCTCCTCAGCATCCATGTAAAATGCTAGGTATGGCAGCCTGTGCCTGAAATCTCAGTGCTGGAGACAAGATGGGAAGATCCTGCATTCTAAAGACATAAAACATTTACTTTGAACATGTGAGATAAAGGAAGCAAACAATGGCCATACCTTCAGTAGGAGGTCTGGCGACATTTTCAATGTGGCTTTGGCTAGCAGACTCCTTGGTAGATTTCATTAGATTTTCAATTTGGTTTTGGCTAGCAGACTTCTTGGTAGATTTTTTAAACTTCTCAATGAGGTTTTGGCTAGCAGATTCCTTGGTAGCTTTGGTTTCAATTTCAGTTTGACTTCGACTATCAGACTCGTTGAGATATGTCATTAAATTTTCATATTGGTTTTGGGAAAAAGAGGTCTGGAGAGATTTGGTTACATATTCAGTTTCTTTCTGGCTAGTAGACTCTTGGATATTCTCAGCAACCTCCTGGTTTGGAAGGAGATGTGTATTTGAGGCTTCTTTTTCTGCAACTACAGTCAGTGTAGAATCTAAAAGCCGAAAACATTGAAAGTTACATTATGGCCAATGACACAGAGACAACTGACACTTATACAAACAACACTGAACAGTGGGTTTCTCAATGAGCAGGGTACTTCCCCATTCTCCTGAAAAAGGCTCCATATGAGCATATCATTGAGAGAGTCCTCATAATTTGATCCTGGCTTGCCACTAACAAACAAGGTAGTATCTGCAGAGTGCATACTCCCTAGGAGCTGGCTGGATCTTGTGGGCAGAAGGACCAGATGGAGCCATCACCATGCTGTTACCAAGAGGCCAAACCATCTGCCTCTGCCTTTACCTGCTAAACAAAAATGATTCCAACATATTCATTACTGTGAAAATGCATCTCTTCATTAGAATACATATCTTTAAGAAACAGTTACAATATGAAACAAAATTAAATAGATATACTTATGATTGGGAAGGCAATCATAAAGCTGCTTAAAGACTGTCTTGAAAGGCTGCTGTCCTTTTAGGGAGTGGCCTGTGGTGAGCTTGACAACTCAGAACCATCAGCTCAGGATCACTGATCTCTCCTCACCACAATCACAAGTTGTTTTTTTAGCCCTGATCTTTGCTTTGCAAGCTCTGTTAAAAAGTCCAGGCTTTTTCTGATCATGCATATTTCGGGTGGATGGACTGTAGGTATAACATTATTCAGTGGAAAGTTGCTCTCTTTGGGTCTCCTCACTATTCAGCTTACTGAGAAGAAAAGCTACATTCCATTTCAATGTCAACTCTCTCAGCCTCTCAGCACACATCTGCTGAGAATACAGACATTCTCTTTTGTCTCCATGCTCCATTATTATACCTAAGAAACGAACGAATTGTTCGTGTCCTCTGATATACAGTTCCCTAATAAAACTTGTGCATTTCTACCTTTGGTTGGTTACATGATGTTTTGATGTCATATGGTCTCTTTTGAATGACAGCTGTCCCATCTTTTTGGTTTCATGATACTGACTCTGAGTGTGTGTGTGTGGTGCTGGGTACTAAACCTAAGGTCACGTGCCTGTTAGCTAAGGGTTCTATGATTGAACAACATATGCATCCTGACCCTGACTTGTTTGTCAAGACCAAGCCAGTTGTATTATATAATGTCTACTGACTGGCACACATTTGTCAATTATATTCCCTTGGTTGGATTCGGATTAAGGATTTTTGACATGAATTCTATAGAGTTATTATGCACACTGAACTCTGTGAGGAAGGCCCTCAATGATAGAAAGTCTTACCTTTGATAAAAATTTAACTACTTGGCTAAGGTATAAAATGCTGTACTTTTGTGGGACATGAATATTTACTTTACTTACTGTAATTAACAAGCATGGGAGTTATGTTGAGACTATGTAAATCCTCTAGTCTCATCAAAACCTCTCATATGTCCTGTGGTTAGTTTGATCTTTCAAGTGTTTTAGGCACAAATAATGGATCTGAAATTCAATTTACATCTTGCTCTCTATATAACTCCAACACATCCGTAGCATGCAGCCAACAGCAAGTTTACTTACCAACTGTCATTGAGAGAACAGATGTGAGAGCCAGCTACATCCCAAGGGGCTGTATTGGGTGTGGGTCAGTTAAGTTCAGGTGATAGGCATGGGTACCATATTAGCATCTTACCTGAGTAAGGATCCAGAACAGCAGCTGTCTTGGTTTCAGCCTCATTTTTCTTAGTAAAAGGAGGCAGGTTTTTGGAAAGCTTCTCCAGATAATCATACTTAAGGGAAAAGCCACAAGACTTACATCAGATACATACTTATTTTATGTTAACGGTCACAGATATGTTAGCTAAGATGATAGGCAATGGTGACAAGGCCCTGAAGGTGAGGTTGACAACTAAAATTCTGCAAGGGAAACAGAATTCTGGGCGTTGTTAACTAGTCATGGTTTTGGGAACTTCCTCTGATTAATAATAGTATCTTGAATTTTCAAGAACTCCAGGACATTGTGGACATATGAAAGTGTTCACTTGGCATTGTGGTTTCATCGAAGGGCAGTGAGGGGCAGGCCGGTGTGCAGCTACAGTTATAGGAATGGACTCACATGGAAGAGGAAAACATTCAGTGTCTGTGGGCTTCTAAGAACTTGCAGTAAGTTAATGGTGTTTTAACAGTTGATGACTAAGAAAATTCTAATGAAATAAAACTTCAAATTGGAGTTTATAGTGGTTTGAATATGCTTGGCTCAGGGAGTGGCACTATTTAGAGGTGCAGCCTTGTTGGAGTAAGTCTGTCACTGTGAGTGTGGGTTTTAATAACTTCCTCCTAGCTGCCTGAAAGCCTGTCTTCTGGCAGCCTTTAGATGAAGATGTAGAACTCTCAGCTCCTCCTGCACCATGCCTGCCTGAATGATGCCATGCTCCCACCTTGATGATAATGGACTGAACCTCTGAACCTGCAAGCCAGCCCCAATTAAATGTTGTCCTTAAAAGAGTTGCCTTGGTCATGGTGTCTGTTCACAGCAGTAAAGCCCTAACTAAGATAGAATTTGTTATCAGCTGGTTAATCATCAACAGAGAGTACTTGGCTCAAAGAAGAACTTAGAAGAATGATTAATGGTCACATGCAAGGAAGAGAAGGGAGTGACAGTCACGCATGGGTAGAAATTTTATCGTGTGTGCTTGTGCAAACACAGATTTGAAGTGTGAGAGTTATTGGTCACATTGTTGAAATAGGCACACAGTATCAGGAAAGAGAGCTTACATTTTAACATATAATGCACCATTTTATCCAGATTAAATTATTATGAATTACATCTAATTACCTGTGACTTAAATAACGGGCTCAATTCAGACTTAAAATAAGGCGTTACTTCTTTTGTCTTAACTTGCATTAGGTAATTTTGTGTTTTCTCAATATTTTTCCTGGTTCACATTTCCACAATGATATGCAAGAAAAGACACACAAAACACATTGGAAAAATTATTTTGCTTATGCTTTTGCTCTAAATTCCACTGGAAACCATTACAACCACTGATGGGAAAACTGAGAAGGAAAAAACTGGATGGCCATTTCCCCCCCTTGGGATAGGGAGTCACTATTCAGCCTTGGCTGGCCTGGAATTAGCTTTATAGAGCAACTTAGCCTTGAGCAAATGGACCTACTTGCCTCTGCCTTCCTAGTACTGGGATGAAAGGGGTGCTCCATCTAATTCTCTAACTGGTGGGTGGGTGCTCACTTCTTGCTTCCATTGTCATATTTCTTCTTTTGAAAATCAGATTCTTATGAGACAGGAACTAGCAATGCCAGTTGATCTCAAATGCCTAAAGCCAAGGTGCCCCTCCAGTGGATGCATGTTTTTGAGGTTGTGAGGTTCTTCGGGGTTTAAGTGACAGCCACAGGCTTCCATAATTTCAGGAGCAGCAGCAGACACCACACAATACAAAGAGCTAAGTCCAAGAGGCTGTTGGGAAATTAAAGGGCAACCCACACTGCTCTGAGTTGGTTCTTCCAATTTAGAATGCTTTCACTGGGAGGCAATACACAGGTAAGGTCAGTGAGATCTAATCTGGGTTTCAGGTGAGTCTTGCTATCTCTATTTTATAGTAAAAACATCAAGACTACATATGTACTCTACAGCATAATTAATACAGAGTTGGGCTGAATGATGAGCTAGGTTATACATCTTTAAGCTCGTGATCTTGACAACTTCTAAGCAACTGTCAGTCACCCCAGCTGATGCACTTCAAATTTTATAGATAAGCAAACTGAATCCCTGAAGGGCAACAACCAGTCAGTATAGTAAACTCCACCAAGAAATCATACTTTAGCTGTCCCTAGACATGCTGACTCAGATCAGTGACCGTGCACAGACTGCATGCCTGGAAGGACTGTGAGGATTTAAACAAGTCTAGTTTGCCATCACAATACCTTCTCTCTCTTGCCTCACTGGGCTTCCCCTTCAAGTATGGCAGTCTGGAGGTTGCTCACGTGGATTCAATGAACCTGGCATTCGAGAGGTCTATGTTCCTTTGGTCCAGTCTCAGTGGTGATTCTTCTGTTGACCTCACATTTACTGTGCACCTTCTGTGTTCTTGACATGCTGGTTTCCTCATACTCAGCTCACATTTCTTATTCCCACCATTTTTCTTTTTATGCCACACAATAAATTATGAGCCTCACCTTCTCTGATTATGAATAACTACCCACCCACAAGTTAAAATTTGAATTATTAATATTTCAATTAAAAAATTACGAGTACCTCATGAATAACCACAGCACTTAAAAGATGTTAAAAGAGTATGTCCTCAGACCCTTGATCATTATATATGTGTGCACAGGATGGAGGGGGACTCAGGGCTCCTAATTCTTACTTATTAGACTTGGGGAAAGGGAGATAGTGTCTTCAATTGTGTTCCTACTGATAACCCCCTCGGGCTCCAATAGATTGTCTCAATCCATTTACAATCCAGCAAATAATCACATAGCCCTGATTAAACCAAATGAGTCATACAAGAAACCAACGTCATGAGTCTGAGAAGGGGCAGGGTGGGAGGAGAGAGGCTAGGAGAGGTGGGAGAGACATAAGAGAGACACAGGCAAAATAGTAGCCAGAATGCATTAAATACATGCATGAAGTTGACAAAGGACTTAAAAATTCTATCATCATACCAGTTCTCATCATTGTTGGATCATAATGTTCTTATTTTTATTTGCCATGTCCATTGTCTTACAGATATAGCAATTTTGAGATTGGCAATAAAATTTAAAAGTGGATTCAACAAACAAACAAACAAATAAAAAATAGTAAGTCACTATCTCCTGTTGTCCCCTGAGCTTCCAGTCTTATTCTCCATCAACAACCCCTCATATATTGTGTCTAGGCCATAAAACCTAGGAAGGGTCTTTTCTAGCCTTTCTCTGAATCTGATTTCCAGACCTTCATGGGAGAGGTATTTTCACTATATGAAGAGGGAAGGGGCATCTCTATCCAGACCTCACTGGTTTCTCTAAGGTTGTTAATATTAGGTAATACTTTTTACCACACTGTATGTATTCTTGGCTATTAATCAGACGGAGCAAATAGATGTACAGGGCCAGTCATTTCTTTACATCTTCGTTTTTAAAATGACATCCCCTGTCCAATATAAAACTTAAATAAATCCATATTATGTTCTATGACCAGTTTGTCTTTTGCTATAGGGATCTCAGCCAGGGACCTAAGATGTGTAAGGACAACAAGGTCTTCTTCCACTACAGACATCATATTCCTTCCAGTTCAACCTTGTAAATGAAAAATAAGTCTTACTGTTCCATTTTCCAATTATTCTAAAGTGTAGCCCTGACACCTTAATGAAGCTGAAGTTTCTGAAAAGAGCAATTCTTGGGTACAAGTGGCCACCCACCGCAGATATATAAACACACTTGGCTTCCTTTATGGGTAAAAAACTGGAATTGAAATCTTAAGCTCAGACTGGAGGGAAAACAAGTATTAACATGTTCAGGATACATTTCTAAAGCAGACAACACAAATCCTGAGTGTTTATGACCAAGTGTTAAAATGTTTATGAGTATATTAGGATTACCAGAAGCCCAGAGAGAGCCCAGAGAGTCCTACTGCAGGAGAGAAGGATCTACCTAACTTCCCAATAGGCTGCCTTGCCTGCCACCTTGGCTTCTTGAAGCGGTGGCTGGGAACCTGAAGGACCTGGTAACCTATAGAACTCTAAGATTCCACAACTCTGGCCTTCTTACGACCTTATGTTTACACCAGGGTAGAATTACCTCTGTTGCTCCAGCTTTTCTTTCCAGCTTTTCTTTCCTTGTGACATACTCCTCCTATGTGAAAAGAAAAAAAAAAAAACATGGTGAAGAGTCGGTGCTCTCAAACACTGTGTACTGGGAGAAGGGCCTCGATGATTCCCACAGCCCTCCATTCCCTATTGTGTGCCAGCACTAACTAGAACAGACGTCCAGCATAGCTTACCCCCACTTCTTTTCTAAGAAATCTTTAGTGAAGTTGTCTGGTGAACATTTCGGAGCTGAAGCCATGGATTGCTTGAATAAATCTGTTAGGTGGGCTGCAACTTTAAATGTAACACAGTGTTAGAATCGACTTCTTTTATTTTTACTTTTAATTTAATGTTGTTTTTAGTGTTGACTTCTTTATAATGTTTCTTCCTTACATAATTGCTGATCTGCAATCTCTTCAAGAGCCCACATTTAATTTACCAGTTGATTTGGAGGCTTTCTGCACTCAAGCTGTAGCGTGCAGTAATCAGACATCCTACTGTCCATGGGATGTCCGCTAGTGAATGTCATCCTTATGACCCAAATGTAAATGCATCACAATGCGCTTGCCCTATGGTGCTAGGGAAGCTGTGTGTCATGGAACTGATTTCCCTCATGTTAAAACAGATTAGCCAGCATACTGAAATTGTTTCTTTAAACACATACCTGCTACCAAGTTCTAAAGATCTGAATATTACATATCTTAAGAATTTGGGCGATGTTGCTTAGAGTTTGTCTAGAGCACACAGCATCAGTGAGATGTCACTTTGTCAGAGAAAGAGTAGGACACCTGCTCAAGACAAGAAAACTTAGAAAACACTGATTTAGACAAGGGTAAGTAAGTTTTCTTCTTAGGGGACTTTTCTGTACCTTTTAATTTATGTGTGTTATACATCTGTAAGAAGTAAGACAATGTAAAATATTACTCAAACTTGTTTTATTGTAAAACTAATGTTTTTATAGGAACAATCTTAAAAAACATTTTAGGAAATACAATAGGAGACACTGACTTCATGCTCACCATTGGTAACAATTAGGATCAGTTTGCAGTATGCTGTTTCCTTCCTGCACCAATGTGAGAAATATAGTTTGTTTAACCATTAACATTGGGTGACTGTAGGTTTGTCTCCATCACACATGCCTGTTTTCTTGGGCCAAAATTTGCAAGCTCAAATGACCCAGGGTAAGTTTGTAAGATCAAATACAGGGTAAATAAAATTTGCATTTTAATTAAATGCATTTTCTAAAGGATAAGTATGTAACGTGCCATATTTGGGATATACTATTAATACAGACTGTTATTTGCCAAAAATTTAATTTTAAGAAGACCTTTTGTATTTATGTTCACTGGCAGCTCTATTGCAGGAGCCATCTTATAAAAGTGTGGTAAGAGAGTATATGGACAGAGGAGTACTAGAGACCGTGATGGCCTCTTTCATAACGGCCATCTGAAGGGGTGGCTGTCCATCACCTTTGGTCACATGTCACTTTGTTATACTATGAAATCTTAATAAGGGGAAAATCTAGATAAACAACAATGGCAAAAGTAACAACAAAACAAGAGTATAAGTCAATACTGTGAGAGATGCACCAAACATGTCTGAGGGTTCAGTGAAACCCACAACAGACAGCTTGGGGCCTCTGCCACATAGCTGAACACAAAACCTCAGCAAAACTCTGGGGTTTTGCTGTTGTTCTGATATCATCACACTTGTTGGGGCAGGAGGAGTCCCTTTGAGAGTAGCTGTTTGTGTTATATAGTGTAAGAGAGTGCAAGGTGTGGGCAATGTCTGTGCACATGCTTGGAAGCCATGTGCATGCACATGGGGCCATTGGTCCCTGGTTCCTTGCTATCTCTTAGCTACTTTCTATGGAGTTGAAGTCAATAAGAAAGTAAATTATTAGTGTTTTTATTCAACAAAGGAAAGTTAAAGATGAATTAAGTGGGGGATCACTGTTTTCAGGGCGGAAAGAAAATATAAATCACTGCAAAACAGCATGTCTCATATGGGAGCAGAGGTGATTATGAGAGGATTTGCTGTGGCATACAGAATGACAAACAGGTATATTTAAGAAGTCCTCTGAAACCTTAGGTAGAACACAGAAAAATATTAAATTCCAGTTACCTTCAGTCACATGACTTTTTGTAGTTTCCTCCATTTTAGGGAAAGACTGAAACAAAGGTTAGAATTACTAGAGGTTAATTGTATTACATGTGGAAACTGTTTAGAAGCATTCTCTGTGTGCTCAATGTGACTCATGGAAAAGACAAAAAGTGAATTTATGTTTTAAATATCAATACACAATTTATTTGAATATTTTGTTGTTCCTTTATGTAATGAACTTCTAAGAATAGAGATCATTTGACTTTATAGAAATTACTTTTTTCTTTTCTTTTCATATTCATTAAGTTATTCAGTATTTCAATGAACATTAATTTCTTAACGTAAAATTAATAATACATGTTCAAGGTAAAAATATCTACATTTATATCTATCTATCTATCTATCTATCTATCTATCTATCTATCTATCTGTCTATCTACTTATCTTTTATTTGAGGAATTATCTGTGAATAAAGGAAGAGCCAAAGGAAGATATATTTGGAAAATTCAGTAAATCCATAATGCTATTACCACAGAAATAAGCTATAATGTGGATGAAGCAAATGCTTCAAAGCCTTGGCAGGACTCTCATGTGGCTTCTCCCATGTGCATTCTGCATGGAAGCACCTGACAGTGAGACAGTAGAAAAAACACTGGTCTGTAGGACACCCTCTCACCATAACCAGCTTGAGGAGATCCGCAGCATTGCCCCTCTCCTCTTCTGTTCTGGAATCCTTGACTGTCATCTCCTGTAGCTCATCTTCTTTCTTCAGGATGTGGTTTATATAGTCCTAGGTCAGGAGAATCAATAAAACAGGTAAGAATCAAGAACCAGACAGAGAAATACACTGGCACAATCAGTGTTAACTGGGAACATTACAGAAGGACTAAAGGGATAAGTTCACACCTCTCAACACACAGTTAGCTAGTCAAGCACTGGGAAAATATTTTTCTCAGTAGATTAATAATAATAATAAACTAAGTGTTGATATGCTCATAACAAAAGCTTTAAAGGCACAGGAGAGAACTGCACAGGCACCTCGGAAGGCCCTTACTGCAACATGGTGCTTCAGCATCCTTTCACTAAAATGAATAAACTGGGTAGATGATTCTAGGTCTCTCAGTACTGTCTGTATACATCACTTAGCTCATGCCTTTGCTTCTAGATGAAATATACTCCTTCCTGATCAACTGTCAGGAGACATCTAGGAAAGACTAAAGACATACAGGTGAGTTTTCTAGAGATGGCCCACTGTTTTTCATGGCTGTAATTGGTAAACTCTGAATGGCAGGGCCTTCAGAAATCTCATATCAGGACTGATTCTTATTGCTGATATGCCTTTCCTGTCATTATTACATATTCTAATGATGCCTGGGCATTAGCCCACCCTATTGGGCAGATTTTTTGCAGATCATCAAAGAGACATTCACTTGTAGTAATGCTATACAGACAAATTGATGATTTCATAATTCCTAATAATGATTCTATTGAATTCCTAAATGTATGCAAGTAATTTTGAGCCCTCTATAGTATGAAAGTGCAATCAGGACTCTGTAAACCTTTATGTATCACAGGTTAATTGCACTAGGATAAGAAAGCAGGCTTTGGAAAAAATTTACCATCAGGGAAAATATTCCTTCTAGGTTAGCTGTGAAACCATTATCTGATAACTAAAGGTAATAAACTGGGAATGGACAATTTATTGTTAAGTGCAAGGACAGAGAATATTGACTGGATTTGTTCATACAAAACTTCAAAACTAATGAGACACAAGACAGATGATTTATTTCTTGGTAAAGCCATGCTAACTTATGACATAAAAATTATTGCTCTAAACTTTTAATGAAGATAGAGCTAGACAATAAATAAAGAATATTTAGCTAGAAACTAATCTTAATGGAACACATGTAAACATTTCTGCTGTAACTCTTTATTCAATTTATGATTTGAATTTATATCTCAGACTTGCTTTTGGGATGTAATGATGCTTGAAAAACAATGTGAGCATTTATCCTGAAAAAGTATAAGAATTAAGAAGGACAAAGGGAGTAGAAGCCTTTTTCTTTCCGCCATAAAGAAAGTGAAGCCTTTTCTTACTTCAAGGTTTTTGTTCTCACTTAGGAGCTTTTTACTACTTTCCGCAATGAAAAGGTAGAAGAAGCTTTTTCTTTCTCTGATCAATAAAAGTGGGAGCTTCTTTTTTAGCCAGAATGAGTGAGTTTTTTTCTGCATTGGCCCTCACTGAATGGAGCTTGCTCCATCCACCGAACATTTATATCTTTGTGAATATAGGTGTGTGTACGTAAGTTTGCATGAACTCTCATGGAGCTGATGAGACAAGGTGGTTTGGCCCAACCAGATGTGTGTGTGTATGTGTGTGTGCGCGCGTGCGCGCGTGTGTGTGTGAATATGCATGGGTCTATACATATTGCCAGTGTAAAAAAATTAATTATTTTCCTTTCTTTTTTCATAAAGAGTTAATGAGTTTCTAGCCTCTGGCCTGACCAGCTAGAGGTCCTTGAGCAAGAGAGAAAGGAAATCAGTGCTTATTAGCACAAAACAGTAAGAGAGAGTTACATAGAAAGAAACCAGTGCTTATTGAAGCACAAACTGTAAGTTTATAAGGCCAGCAATCATCAGTCTTTAGCCTTCATACCGACTCTGTGTTCCACCTTAGCTCATTCCCAGCCAGAGCAGCCTCCAGCAGATCAATTATGTATCAATGTTGACCCTCTTCTCAATGCTAGGCTCTGGACAAATGACCATAAAAAGCATATAATGTTCATGCTGACAGAATTAAATTTAGAAAGGTGCTATAGATAAGATCACATAATGGGCTATATATTTATAAAATCTTAGATCGTTTTCAAAGCAGCAACTTTTTTCACCCATGAACAAGTATCAGATTAATGTGTGATTCTACATTTTCTCCAGAGAGCAATAACTTTCCACATAGAAAATATACATGAAAGTTTTCTCTTTTAAACTATAGCAGCAAATTTTGGGCTTCCTGAAACTTAATACAGGAATCATTAAGTAGCTTCTACATATTAACCTTCTATTTTAGGTGACTGATGTCCAAGTGTTATTGTAAATATTGGTAAAAACTAGATGATTTCAGGCTCTTCAGGAAATGAACATGAATGATTTGCTATGTTCCCTATCCTTTGGGGGGATAGGCATCATGTCATCCAGATTCTGTTACCTTGAGGGAAATCTGTAGCTTTAGCTTCACCTCATTCTTTATGACTTCATGCTGGATGAACTGACGCATCTGTAGCACTTTGGGGCCTTCAAGTATAGGGGCTGGGATGTTTGTCAGCTGTTTAGACCCAATACAGAGGCCTTTCCAAATCTGAGTGCCAAATGGTGGTCCTGGAGTCTTTTTCTGTCAACAAAACAAAGTGAAAGATTCACCAAAGAAGTCAGAACAGTTCAGCAATGGATTTTTTTTTTTTAATGAGTACTTACGTGGATACAAGATCAGGGGTGATTATGGGGCTCCTAAGCCAGTGGAAACCTGACTTTGAGGGATCCAAACAGATAAGGCTTGGCCACCCACTTGTAAATCCAAATGGCAAATGTAATGATTAAGTAGGAAAGAGATTCATCACTCAGTATTACTACCCTGGAGGTGTGGAGACTAACATCTCATGCTCCATTTTCAAGGAGCTGACAAGAGCTTGGGATAATATAAGGGAGGACCACAAGAAGGAGAGCAATGAATACGAATGCATTTTCAGGCCGTCTTGATCCAGGTGTGGTTCACTTGATCAATATCTCAGGATTAGAGTTTTGCAGACAGTTAGAAGGTTGCTGCTATCAGAGTTGGGCTTCTGGGGGAGGGGGTTGGAAGCACAGCATGTAGTTTGTACTCATGGTAAGATGTTTGTGCTCTGAGTTATTCCTGGAATCCAAGATGACTGTAGGAGACAATGGCTATGAGAAAAGGATAGGTCAGAACGTTGGGAGTTTGTTCTTTTGGGTTTAGGGCAGTGCTGGGGGACTTCTACAGGTGTTGATGCTGGGATAAAGTAATCAAGCACCTGGTGTGGTTGCACGCACTTTTATTGCCATTACCCTAGAGACAGACGCAGATGGATGTCTGTGAGTTCAAGGCCAGCTAGGCCTAAATAGTCAGAACTTATTTCTGAAACAACCTAAAACTAAGCAAGCCAACAAAGAAAACTTCAACCAAAAGCAACTCTGGGAAGAAAGAGTTGATTTGGCTTATACATTCAGGTTACAGTTTATTATTGATTGAAGTTAGGCAGAAATGCAAGGCAGGAATCTGAGGAACAGGCTTACCCCCTGCCTCACTGCCTCACTCATTCACTGGCTCATGCTGCCTCTTTCTCAAATAGTCTAGGACCATCTGCCTAGGGTTGGTGCCACCCACAGGGGGCTGAGACCACCTGTATCTATTAATAATCCAGACATTTCCCAGACGTGCCAACAGGCTAACTGGATCTAGCTTGTTCCACAATCCAGCTTCTCAGATGACTCTAGACTATGTCCACGTGATAATTAAAGCTAACTAGGCCGAGGTAAAACCTGGTGACTGACAAGCTGCTTATTATGTTGTCTCTGCAAATCTCAAATATATCTTATTCATCCTTTGGTGCTTCTAACCTTGAAAGGGGAGACTGCTGCTTTTAGATGAAAGACCTTCAAATGATTACCATGTGTATATGAAGAGCTGTGCAGTAACATTATCCAAATTTAAAGAAGCTGGGAGACAGATACAAAATGGAGGCAGAGATGTCAAACTATAATAGCTTTCTATTCAGTGAACATCTGAAGGACCAAGGGTAGAGTCAGTCCTTTCAGAAGAAGCCGAAGCCATCACAGTTACACCTGCATGGGAGAAAATGGTGCTGGAAAAATCCTCATCCTCCTGGATCTGAGCAAAATTTCATCTTTATAGGTGTCACTAACAAATTCCGATGATGTCCTGTTGGGCATCTTTTCAGGAGGGCTATGTGATTCTGCACTTGGTAATTCAGCAACAGTCTGAATCATGTTATAGGAACAACGCTTTGTTTAGCATGCTCAGATCATCTAAGACATTTGGAGTTAGCAGTCTAACTTCCTGGTTCTGTGTGAATTTATATAGGAAGATTCTGAAAGTAAAATCATTCCACGGGTCTTGGCCAATTTTGAGCTCATTGTAGCTGAAACTCACCTCAACACTCTCTAGGGGTTTCTTGGGAAGGGATGTCTGCCTAAAAGTGAGCTCAAACCTGTTATTCTAGTCATTGACCTTCAGGACCAGTGTACTTTGATGCCTTGGTACTTTGTTTTAAAAAGAGTGGCCAGTGAATACCTCTCAGTGGCTTTCAGTTTGCAGTATCAGAGTATCAGAAAATAATCTTCACTAATCCTGAATGGATATATTTATCTTATTACCTTGTAGTATCTTCAGCTTCTTGACATTTTCAACATTCAGAGAAGACTATTGTAGTGGAGTGTAACCTTTCTGAAGATTCAGGACCAGAAATCATGGCCACTTAGGATAATAAATTTGATTAGAGTCACCAAATTAAAAGGAAGAAGTTTTTTGTTATCTTAATTGCTCGCTGTTTCTGCTCTTGCTATAGCAGAATTTCTACTGGCCACTGAAAGCAGAAATTCAAAGACACCACCCTCCGCCCTTAACAGTTATGTGATCTATGATCACATTTTTTTGGCCTCTTCACAGATTTCATAATTGAACACTATATGATGTGCTGGACATGCTGCATGTGGTGGTTGTGGAACAAAATGACAACCTTACAAGATGCAGGATATCGTGATGCTTCAGCAAATATGTTTCATTCTTTTAAAGCTTTAGGATTGAGCTTTGCTAGTCTGGTATGATAATATCTATAGTATTTAGTTGCTAATATTGCAGTAGCAAAATTCTTTGTTCTCTCTCTCTCTCTCTCTCTCTCTCTCTCTCTCTCTCTTTCTTTCTCTGTTACTGCCATTTTAAATACACAGAGGAAAAAACAGGGAGAGTTAAAGAGACAACAATTTGTTTCAAACTTAACTGGGAGAAATGACAAGGAAAGTGCTTTAGTATCAGGAAGTACATGGTAAGTGGTAACAGGTTTTTCAAGAGGGATGTTTTAATAATACAGAAACATGTTCAGGCTTGCTAAGCAGAATAAAAACCAAAACTAAAATTAGCTATCCAGGCATGATCCTCTAAAAGTATATTGCTACATCTACAGATATAACACATCTTGAGCTCATTCATTATCTTACAGTAGGCTGAAAATATATAAAATTATAGAAGACCTGAGCCTAAAATGATTTCTAAATAAGGTGACTTTACAGTTGGAAATGGATACCTCAACTGAAGGAAATGTTTCCCATGACCTTGACTGGAGATTTGGAGGAACGATGGTGTCTAGTTCCTTCTTCATGATCCATCGTGATGCTTCGTGGAAAGGACGAAGGACTGTGATGCTCAGGGCCCCTGGATTAAAGGGAGTTACCAGATATGATTTCTCTACCAAAATGTTCCTGATAAATTCAACACATATTACCCTAATTCAAAAATTTCTTTGAACTGCCTTTTACATGAAAACTGTTCTCAGGTACAATGACTACTACTCTCTAAGATGGGACCATGAGCCAGTCAACATCTGAAAATTGGACTTTAATCATCCAAAAGCATTCTTTGGTGCCTTTTTGTCCCTCAGCAGTAATATTTGGGTCCTGTTGGGTCTGTCAACAAACTGCCTTGAATCTATCTACTTCTGCCTCCTCCTCAGATGTAACATTTAATCATGTACCTCAGAGATGTCCCATCACGGACTGAAGCAACAGCTAGCTTTTCTAGCTGTAGATGTAGCACTATGGAGTGAGCTGATCCTGACAGCCAAGTCACGGTCATCATGATTAAAGCTTCTTTGACTTCTCACTGCTCAAGGACTACAGAAGAGCAGCGTCTTCTATGTTCACTCCTGTCTTCAGCTTCAACTGTTTCTTTCATTCATGCTACAGCCATGCTTGACCTCTCACCCATTCTCTAATTCAGTATGGTTCTTTGTGATTTCTTCCCCAAGAAGTCACCACCCTCACCTCATCACACACACACACACGCACATGCACACACTCCTGAATACATTAACTAGCATTAACTAGCTCTGGGGTCTCAAGCATCTTCAGAGACAGTTTCTAGATGATACCGGAGTTTTCTGTTTGAGGCTCCCATTGGAAAATATTTCTATTCTTTGTAGACCTTCTGTAAATGTACACATACACAGTTATTTGTGGGGAGATATAATTAACACTTATTTCTCTTGATAATTTATAAGGAATTTAAGGAAATAAGGTCTATGTTTGCTTTAACTCATTATCTACTACAAAAACTAGTATCTGGCACAGGATAGGTTGCTAAGACAATGCTACTGAAAGAAATAAAATATGCTGAGCAGAGTTATTATCTTCTGCCTTCATTTTGTTGTTGTTTGGTTGTTTTTTTTCCCATTGGGCTGTTTTGTTTGTTTTTTGAGACAGAGCCTTGCTATGTAGTGTAGGCCAGCCTGAAGCTTACAGTGGTTTTCTAGTTCAGGAGTTATTGTACCATCATGCCTGCCCTCCTTACGTAGTTCTTTACATACACTATGTAGCCAGGCACATTCACACAAACAAATCATATAATATGCATATGCATGCTGATAAAGTAAAAGATAGCATAGACCTGCAAGCATGC